CAGGAGCGGCACTCCCATCCTCCGCCCAGGTGGCGCCGCAGGAGGAGAAGAAGAGGGACAAGAAATACAAGAAGGACCCCAAGGACAAGAAGGACACTTGGGGCAAGAAGCACAATAAGGAGCAGCAGGACCACAAGAACAAGCAGGACCAGAGGGGCGAGGCCGAGGCCGAGGCCATGCAGGGCGAGGCCATGCAGAACCCGAAGGGCGAGGCCGCGCAGGGCCTCGTCCACAGCCAGCAGTGGGAGGTCGCGGGGGAGATGCAAGACTTCCAGCCCGTAGTCGTGCCGCCGCCGCGCAGGGCGATGGCCGAGCAGGACGACGACGACGACGAAGACGACGAGACGACGACGACGACGACGACGACGACGACGACGACGACGACGACGACGACGACGACGACGACGACGCTGAGGAGCCCAAGACCAAGATGGTCCCGAGGCAGCCGGACTTCCCGCCGCCCGCGTCCGCGACGACTCCTCCGTGGACGAAGGCTATGGCCCCTATGGCTCCTCGGACTCCTCCTAGGAGGGCCCCGCCGAAGGCGCGCCCAGGCGCGAAGAAGGACAAGGGCCACGAGGAGGACAAGGAGGCCACGACGTCCCAGGGGGCGGGCAGCGGCGCCGTGGAGGAGGCCGTGGAGGCCGAGCAGGACCTGAAGGGCGAGGCCGTGCAGGACGAGGCCAAGCAGGACCCGAAGGGCGAGGCCAAGGACGAGGACAAGGCCAAGCAGGACCCGAAGGGCGAGGCCAAGGACGAGGACAAGGCCAAGCAGGAACCGAAGGGCGGGGCCGAGGATCTCGTGGACCTGAAGAAGCTCTACTTCGTGGCCGGGGCGGGGGGGGTGGGGGAGTGGAAGGGGGCAGGGGGGTGGAGTCCGGGGTGGAGGAGGCGGGCGGGGAAGTTGCGGGAGTGGAGGAGGGGGGGGGGAGGCGGTTGGGGGGGGATGTGGAGGTGGGCAAGGGGGGGACTGGGGGGGGGGCCGGGCTGGGATGGGGCGGGGAAGGGCGGGGGAGGGGGGAGGAGGGAGGCCCGCAGCGTGGTAGATCATGCCCTCGACGCGGCACCTCGAGTCCGTGAAGTCTCGCCGCGAACAGCGTCGGCGGCTGAGACCGTCTGCAGGCGCTCCAAACTCTCCCCCCTTCTGGCCCCCCTCCTCCCCTCGCGCGGGAAAAAGCGAGAGTGAGGAGGGGGCGGTGAGGAGGTGAGGGTGGGGGGGGAGGGAGGAGGGGGAGGAGGGGGGGAGGTGAGGCGAGGGCCCTCGCCTCTCCCGCAGTCCTCCCCCTATCCTCCTCTCCCTCCTCCCTCGCCTCTCCCTCTCCCTCCCCCTCCTCTCTCACGTGCCCCTCCCCCCTCACCTCTCCCTCGCCGCCCTCCTAGAACAACTGAAGGCCCCCCCTCGCCTCTCTCTCCTCCTCCTCCGGCATCATATCTCCCTCCCCCTCCTGCCCCTCCTCCTCCTCCTCCTCCTCCTCCCCCTCCTCCTCCTCATCCCCCTCCCCCCTGCAGGGAGCTCAGCAAGGCTGGGGTGGCCTCCGACAAAGCGTTCGCCGCGGTGATCGAGCGGCAGGGAGATCCTGATCTTCCCAGGCCTCATCCTCATCGCCCTCCCTCCCCCCTCATCCCCCCTCTCAGCCTCCCCCACCCTCGATTCCTCGATCCTCCTCCCCATTATCTCTGCTCCCCGTCCTCCT